CAGGCCCCAAGGCTGCACTCCCAGAGGGAGGGCTCGTCACCCCTGCAGGACACGTTGTGGAGCCAGGGCCGCACCATCTCCCCGGGCAGTGGGACGTACTTGGGGGCTCCCACAGCATGTCCACAGCCCAGCTGCCTGCAGACCACGGATGCCTCTGCCAACGTCCACTCCTGGTTGCACACGTGTCCCCACTGCCCATCGTGTAGGACTAGCACCACTCCGTCACAGGGACTGTGTCTGTACGCCAGCCTCAGTTCTCTTGGTCCACCTACAGAAGAACAGGCCAGCCTCAGAGGGGCCCGGAACCAGTTCGCGGGGTGGAGGGTGAGCCAGCGCCAGCTGGGAGGTAGGAAGACTCCTACGTTTGCCTGGGGCCACTTCCAAGGCCTTGCTGCAAAGCCTCAGCACAAAGCCAGGTCCCCCTACCCCCACCCCCAATACTCACAGTCCAGAAAGGTGATGGGGTGGAGTCACATGGAAACCCTCCCACTGCCCCCACGCAGCCCTGCATCTTCACCTCCACAGACCCCCTTCCCTCCCGCCAGGACCACGGCCTCTGCTCCCCTCCCAAGCCCTCTGAGGCCCCCACGATGTGGGTGACCCTCACCCTCTTGGCAAGGAAGTGCCCTTGTGTTCCGCTGCCTGGAAGCGGGGTGGCTCTTCCAGGCCACCCCTCCCCACCCCCAATCGTTTCTCCAGTGCAGTAGAGGCACCGGGGCCCCTGACTCTCTGTTTCCTGCCTCACCGGCCGGCCACCTGCCCTTCCAGTTACAATCTCTAGGCCGGCCTCCTCAGGTCTCAGGGTCTCAGCAGCTCCCTGGACCTGAGCTTGGACCAACAGGACCTCCCACCAGGGCCACGGATGCACTTCTTCAACCATGCCCCTTCTAGGCCCTGCGCCCTGGTTCTCTCTGCACAGCCTCTCCCCATCACAGCCCCTTGGTCCTCACAATCCCATCCACAGCTGGTGCAGAAGAAACAGCAGCCATGAAGAAGTCTTGCACACAGTCCCAGCCTGGGCCACCCCAGACCACCTCCAGTGCCCACCCTGAACTCATGTGAGGAGGGGACAGAGCACAGACTCCCACATATAGGTCCAGAGAAAGGCACGCCCCTCTCACTGCCCCTCTCACCACCCCCTGATGGTCGTCATTCACCGCTGGCATCCTCCCCCACAGCTTCCTCACACCCTGCCGGCCTGTTCTTCTGCAGACGTAAACGTGCACACATATCTGCATCTTTAACACAAAACAGGATCCCCTCCAGCGTTCCCACACCGCTCCCGCCAGACAGCATCACTGCCCACAGATTCCTGCCACCAGCACCCGGGATGCCCCTACTGTCCAGCCCTGAGGTCACCCTCTTGCTGGACCTTGGATCGGCCTGCCCAACAGAGTGTTCTTCCATCAGCTTCCAGAGCACTGGACACCGACTGCTACCCTCTCCTGTCTCTCTGCCCAACTCACATGCGTGCACGTACTCACACACACATGCACACTCTCACACTCTCTGACACTATCACACACGCATGCACGCACTCACACACTCTCTGACACTATCACTATCACACACATGCACACTTGCTCACACTCTGACACTATCACACACGCATGCACACTCCCTCACACTCTGACACTATCACACATGCATACACGCTCTCACACACTCTCTGACACTATCATTATCACACACATGCACACTCTCACACACTCTGACACTATCACACATGCATGCATGCACTCACACATGTGCATGCTCTCATATACTCTCTGACACACTATCACACATATGCATGCATGCACCCACTCTGACACTCACACACACATGCATGCTATCACACACTCTGATACTATCGCTATCACACACATGCATGCTCTCACACACTCCCTACCACACACACACACACACACACACACACACACACAAACACACACACGCATGCTCTCACACCCTCTCTGACACATACTATCACACACTCACCCAGAGGCTCTGTGTTACTGTATGCAGTACCCCCAGGGGTCATTCTGTCACGTCCAGCCTCTCTGTGCTGTTCCACCTGACAGAACCCCTCTCTACAGGCTCTTGCCCATGATTCTGCCTCTTGTCTTCTAGACCCGGCAGCCCTCACACCCCTGGGCCCCCTCCCCAGGTTGTTGCCACTCCCTGGAACAGTGAGTGAGCTGGGGATCACCCTCAATGCCAGGTGCAGCCAGCTTTCACACTCCCCCACCAGCACCCCAGCCCCAGGGACAGGGGTGGAGCAGCCCCTCTGCTGGACCTATCACCACCTCATGTCCATCGGGGTCACTGGGACCAGGCGCTACCCATGCCCCCTCATTCCATCCAGGCTCTGACCCAGCTCCGCACCCTGGGTTCACCCTGGAGTTAGGCTCAGTCAGTGTTGGAACAAGAGTCTCTGGGGGTACACACTTTGGAGCCCACATGCCCTCCTGCCCTCCTGTGGACGACCCATCCATGTCCAGGCTGAGCAAGAGCCAGAAAGACATCTGGTCACAGCAGGAGATCCCCATACCCCAGGGTCTCAGCTTCTACAGAACCACCGCCTCCAGGAGCCTCCATAGATGAAGGAAGGAGAAACTTACCAACAGGGACTGCCCTGAGAGTGAGGAGAAGGGTCCCCAGTCCCAAGGCCCAGAGAGCTGCCTTCATGGCACCGTGACCCCCCAGGGCTCAACCAGTTCCTGCTGTTCAACTAGGACAAGAGCAGAGATTTCAGTCCAGAGTGAAATATGCAGAAATAGGAGTCACCAATGGCTTCCAGGAACCAGTGGAGACAGCAAGGGCCTTTCCAGAGCATATCAGGGGCCTCAGAAGCCCTGAGCACATGAGCAAGGGCCCCAGGCTGCGGGTTTCCTCTCACACTGATAACTGCTGACAGACCAGGTTCACTCAGACCCAAAGTCAAGCAGGTAGTCCAATCTGCCCACAACCGCAGCCGCAAAGCTCTGTGTGCCTCTGCCTTCCACCCAAGCCCAGTGGCTCTGACTCCCCACCACAGATAGTGACACAGTGACAACCAACTTCTGGGGACCAGCAAGGACTGAGTGGGAGCCCCACAGCACCAGGAGAATGAGACAGGCCAGGATAGCCTCACAAAGCCCCTAAAAACTGAACCGTCATTGGAACCAAAGCCACAAAAGGCCAGAAGCTCCACCCTGAGCTCAAACAGGTGGCTACCTGCCAACCTGGAAAAGTCTCCTAACATCACAACCAAAATTGTCCAAAACATTGGACTGAAAATTGGATTGAAACATTGATTGAAACATTCAATCCAAAACATTGGATTGAAAATCACTCATCATTTGAAAACATCACACTCAGTGAAAGTTATCAGACACAAAACACCACCTGTATGACTCCACTGATATGAAACGTCCTGACGAGGCAAATCCACAGACAGAGACAGTGGCTGGGTGGCTGCCAGGGGCTGGAAGGAGGAGAAAATGGAAATGGCTGCTGATATGCATATGGGGTTTCCTTGGGGGAGATGAAGATGCTCTGAAATCAACTAGTGGTGATTGCTGCATAATTCTGAGTATGCTAGAAACTACTGGATTATACACTTTTTTCTAAAATTTTGTAATATTTATTTATTTTTGAGAGAGAGAGAGAGAGAGAATGACAGAGTGAAGGGTAGGGGCAGAGAGAGAGGGAGACACAGAATCTGAAGCAGGCTCCAGGCTCCGAGCTGTCAACACAGAGCCTGACGCAGGGCTCGAACTCACGAACCGCAAGATCATGGCCTGAGCCAAAGTTGAACTCTCAACTGACTTAGCCACCCAGGCGCCCCTAAAGTTGTTACTTTTTAAAGAACCAAGTGGAGATTATAGAACTGAAAATACAGTAACTGAGGTTGCTTTAAAAAATCACCAAATGATCTCAAGAGTAGAATGGAAATGACAGAGGACAGCATCAGTCAACCTGAAGACAAATAGAATTTACCTAATGTAAACAAAAGAGAGAAAACGGACAACAATAATATAGCCTCAGAGACCTCTGGGACATAACAAAAGATCCATTATTTCTATCAATGGAGATCTGAGAAGTAGGGGAGAGAGGAAAGAATATGAAGAAACAATGGCTGAAAACTTCCCAACACAGAAACTTACAGATTCAGGAAGCTGACTAAACTCCAAACAGGATAAATCCAAAGAAATTCACACCAAAACACATCATAATTAACATTTTGAAAACTAAAGATTAAAACAATCCTAAAACCAGCCAAAGAAAAATGATATATCATCTACAGAGAAAAACCAATTAGAATGACAGCAAATTTCTCCTCTGAAATGGAGACCAGTAGGGAGTGGACCAGTTTTTAAGTGCTGAAACAGAGGATGTGTCAAGCCTGAATTCTACGTGTGTGATACTATCCTGCAGAAATTAAGGGGAAGTAAAGGCATGCTCAAGTGAAGGAAAACTAAAAGAACTTCTTGCTAGCAGACATATTATTACATGATAGTTAAAGAAAACTCTCCAAACAGAAAGAAAATGATAACAAAAAGATGGGGCTTTCAGAAAGGAAAGAAGAACAATGAAATGGATAAAAGTAGAAGTGACTATAATAGACTGTCCTTCACTTTGTGAGTTTCTTCAATCACATTTTACGTTATGACGCTACCAGAAGTAGTGCTCAGGGAATACAGAGGAAATACTTAGCACAATTATGTGTTTAAATTGGGAGGGTAAAAACCAAAATTTAAGTAAGGTTTCCATATTTCACCTGAAGTGGTAAAATGTCAACACCAGGAGGCTGTTATAAGTCCCATACAAGGCAACCAACAATAAAATTATACAAAATACAAAAATATTATAAATACGTCAAAATAGAAGTCTAAAAAATGTTCACATAACTCACAAGGAGACAAGAGAAAAAGAAACACGTACATGAGAAACAAGGGAACAAATAGAAAATAAAAAGCAAGTGGCAGATATAAGCCCCAACACATCAGTAATAATTTAAATGTAAAGGTTCTAACCACACAAATTAAAAGACAGATGTTGGCAGAGCAAATTTTTAAAAATTATCCAAATGTGTGCTGATTCAGGAAAAAAACATTTCATGTGAACATTAAACCAAAAAAAGCAGAAGTGGCTATATTGATATCAGACAAAATTTTCAGATAAAAGGAAATTACTAGGAAGAATGGGGGACATTACATAATGAAAAAAGACAAGTCCACAATTCTTGGGCACTTCAAGATGCCCTTCACAGCAATCAACAGAAACTCAGCAAGGTCTGGGAGAACAGCAACCAAGAGGATCACAGAGCACTTCCTACAACAAAGTCGAATACACATTTGTTTCATGCACACATGGTACATTCACCCAAACTGACTGTATCCTAGGCCACAAAATAAACCTTAACAAGCTTAAAGTAATTTAAATCATACAGAATGTTTTCTGACCATAATAGAAAAAAAAACAAGAACTCAATAACAGAGAGACAATGGAAAAATCTGCAAACACTTGAAAATTAAGCACACGTCTAAAAAAGCCATGGCTTGATGATGAAGTCTCAAATGAAATTTTGAAAATACTAAACAGTGAATAAAAAATGAAAATAACATATCAGAATTGATGGGATGCCGCTAAAGTAATGGTGAGAGGGAAGTTTATAGTGTTCGATACTTACGTGAGAGGAAAGATCTCAAATCCATAATCTAAATTGCTATCTCAAAAATCTAGAGAAAAAGTGAAAGGAAGGAAAGGAATAAAGGAAGGAGTAAGGAGCGAAACAATAAAGATAAAACCAGAAATCAGTGAAGTTAAAACCAGGAAAATAATAGCAAAACGTTAGTGAAACAAAGAGCTGGGTTTTTGGAAAAAATAAAAGTAAAATTAACACACTTCTAACAAGTTTGACAAAGATCAAAAAAGACCCAAATCGATACCTGGAATAGAAAAGGTGATAACCCAGGGTGCCCGGGTAGCTCAGTCGGTTGAGCATCTGGCTCCTGACTTTGGCTCAGGTCGGGATCTTACCATTCATGAGATTGAGCCCCATGCCGGGCTCTGTGGTGACAATGTGGAGCCTGCTCGAGATTCTCTCTCTCCCTCTCTCTCTCTCACTCTTTCTCTGCCCTTCCACTGCTCACGCTCTGTCTCTGTTTCTCAAAAATAAATAAAAATGTTTTAAAATTTTTTTTAAAGAAAAGGAAAGAAAATGGGTGTGTGCAGGCATTTCAGCAAAGAGGACATACAGATGTGTCACACGAGGACATGAAAGGATGCTTACCTCCATTAGCCCTTAAGTGACTGCAGACAAAAAACACAATAAGGTATCACTACAGAGCTACCAGAAAGGCTTTTTAAAAAATTAGTGATAATACCAAATGCTGGCAAGAAGTCAAGAAACTAAGTCACTCATGCATCGCTGGTGGGGAGGTGAACAGTGCAGCCACGGCCGCCCTGTAGAATAATTCAGCAGTTCTTTTTAACCCTCAGACTAGACTTGCCCGCACGACTCAGCGACCACACAGTTGGGCATTGACCCCAGAGCAGTGAAAGCTTCCCTTCGTGCAGAAACGTTTACTCTGGCGCTTACAGTGGCTTTGTTCACGGTAGCCAGAAACTGGAAATTACTTAGGTGCCTTTCCGTGGCTCAACGGTTAACAAATCGTGGTGCATTCATACATGGAACATTGCTCGGCAGTAAGAAGGACCAAGGTATTGATACACACAGCGACTTGGGTGAAACTGAAGGAAATTATGCTGAATGAAAACGGCAATCTGAAAGGGACGCATATCGCATGATCCCGTGTACACGATATTTCTGAGATAACGGTAGACACGAAGAACAGGTTAGCAGGGTTAGGTATGTGGGGGTGGAGGGGTGTGAATGTAAGGTGGCAGCCCCAGGGAGTTCACGTCATTGCTGTGGTGGTCACCTGAAGCTACACGTGTGGTAAAATTGTGAGTTCCACGGACGCACAAATGAGCACATGCACAACCGGCAAAACTTGAAAAAGCTGCCTGGATTGTTCCAAAGTGTATTTCCTGGATTGTGTACAGTTTGGGACTGTTATAAATAAACCGGTTAAGAACATTCTTGTACAAGCCTTTTGGTGGATGTATATTCTGATTTCTCTTAAGTAAATACTGAGGAGCACAGTGGGGGGTCGGACGGCAGGAACGCGTGTAGGTCACCATGAAAGGCCGGAACCGTTTCCAAAGTGGTTGTGCTCTTTGGGGCTTCAGGTCCTCCACATCCTCTGCACTACATGAATTTCCAGGAAATGCAAACTAACCTGCGGTGACAGAAAGCAGGTCAGTGGTCGCCTGGAGAGGTAGGTACGGGGAGGGGCAGGAAGGGGGAAAGTTTTGGGGGTGATGAAAATGCACATTCCGTTGGTTGTGGGAATGGTTTCAGGGAGATATAGATATGTATATGTCGAAGCTAATCAAATTGTTCACTTCAAATATGTGCTATTTAATGTATGTCAATTGTCCCTCAATAGTCCTGTTCTCAAGGAAAGATTATCCTCCCACAAAGAAAACCCTGGGCCCAGAACCAATAAAATCAGCGATGCGTACAAAGCATACCAGCGGTGCCCACGATGGCCTTCTTCCAGGAGCGCCAAGTTGGTTTGGCATTAGGAAATCCATCATTGTCACTTGTCACACGGAAATACTAAAGGAGAAAAATCATATTATCATCTTAAAAGAGGCAAAAAGTTTTATATTAAAAAAACCATTTACTACAATAAATACTTTGCAAACTAGAAATAGCAGGGAACTCCCTTAATCTGATAACAAGGATCATGGAAACACGCCACAGCAAGTGTCCGGCTCTCTGAGGCCGGAGACACCACAGGACAGCCCTCCCCATCTTGTCCCTCCCCCACCTCGTCCCTCCCCACCTTATCCCTCCCACCTTGTCCCTCCCCACCTTATCCCTCCCCACCTTGTCTGCCTCTGCTCTGCCCTGGGGGCTCTCACGGTGCAGTCAGTTCGGAGAAGGAAGTTGTAAGACAGGATGGGAGGGTGAAGCCCTCTTACCCACATACAATGCCACTGGGAATATAGGGAATCCAGAAGAATCTGCAGAGAAGTTAGAATTCATGACAAAGTTTACTTAGCAAGCTCACTGGACACAGTTAATAAACAAAAAGCCGTTATCTTTCTACATAAAAGCAGCAAACAGAAAATGAATTCTTTTAAGTAGCTACCACTTATTAAAGCAACAAAAATATTAAACATCTAGGAATTACTCTAATGAAAGATGTGGAAAACCTTTACACAGACAACTGAGACATCGCAGCAAAGTTTAAATAAGAATGGAAATACGCCAAGTTTATGAGTCAGAAAAGTTTATCTTCATATTTAATGTTTATTTCTTTATTTTGAGAGAGAGAGAGAGAGAGAGAGAATGAGCAGGGGAAGGGCAGAGACGGAGAGAGAGAATCCCAAGCAGACTCCACACTATCATCACAGAGCCCTTCATGAAACTCGATCCCATGAGCCAAGATCATGACCTGAGCCGAAACCAAGAGTCAGAAGCTTAACCAACTGAACCACCCAGGCGCCCAGAAGACTCAATCTTGCAAAGACAGAAAAAAAATCCCCCAAATTAACTGCTGAAGGAGGGATCCCGGACCTAACAAAATGATTCTAGAATTGACATGGAATCCCGAATGGGCGGGCATAGCTGTCAAACCCACGAGCAGCAGAATTGTGCAGCCCCATTTGGATTAGCAGTAACGCAGTTGTGGGGTCTCCAATGCTTGTTGCCCAGCCAGTGTGGACGGAAGCAGACAGCAGGGTTAGGAGGGGATTCTCTGCTTCTTGAAGGCCAGGGACAGGAGGGGCGGCCTGCTGCCCAGCTGACAGGGACACTAGAGCCGAGGAGAAGGTAGATGAGGACAGGCGGGTGCTGCTACCAAGGGGCAGAGGGTGTAGTCTGAGGGCTGGGGCTTCCTTCCCTTTCGCTTCTCAGACAGGAGGCTGGAGCCTGTGTCCATGCTGACGTTAGAAGGCAGACCCAGCAGCAAAAGCCAGGGGAGGGCACTTAGGGGTTGGGGGCCAGGTGCAGAGCTCAGCACAGCCAGGAGCAGGAAAGCCCCCAGGATGTGTGTGCATAAAGATAAGGTGTCTGAAGCAGGATGTCAGAGTCCCTGCCCCTTGGCTTGTTTTCTGAGAAGGGGTGGGGCGGGGGCCAGAGTTTAGGACACCTGCTTGGGGAAGGCAGGGACGGGGGGGCAGGGGGGCGGGGGGGAGGCTGCCAGAGATCTTGCTGCAGGGGGAAGGGGTGAGCACTGAGGTTGGGGAGGGGGTGGTGGGCCCGAGGTGGGACTAAGGTGCTGGGGCAGTGATGTGAGAAACAGACAGGACCTTCATCTACACGGCTCGGATCCAGAGGTGAGGTTCTGGGCCATGGGAAGCCAGGGGTGTCTGTGGGAAGGGGCTGAGCGGGCACAGGGAAACAGGAGGCCGGGAGCTGTGAGTGGGGAGGGCTGTCTGTGGATGCTGGGGTCCCCAGAAGAAAACTCCACCCAGCCACCAGAGTCTGCAACAAACCAGCAAGAAGCCAGCAGCCCTACAGCCCAAGACACACCCGCGGAGAGACCCTCGACCCCACTGCTGGAGACAGGCCAGGCTCCCGGGAGGGTGCAGGGGTGCTGGGATTTGCACCAGGGCAGGAAGCCCCAAGCAGGCCAGGGCGAGGGCGAGGACACTCACACGGGTCACAGAGCTTCCTGTCTGGAAGGCTCCAGCCACCTCTCTGCAAAGCTGCCTGGTGGCACAGGTGGAGCCCAGGGCGCCATGGTCAGCCCTGCCTCAAGGCCCAGCAGGGAAGATGGCATAGGGGCCGAGAGTGTGGACACGTGGGCCAGTATCCGAGCGTCCTCTCTTGGCCACTCCCGCTGGCCACGCTCTTGTCGCATCGCACTGCACCTGAAGAGCCTCGTCCAGCGCGAGTGAGAGTTAGCCTACAGCAACGGAAGAGCAGCCAGCCAGCCCTGCTCCCTGGCGGACCCCAAGCGCCCACCTCCGGGAGGTTCCGCGAGGTTCCGGACTCACATGTCCACGCCCCCACCTAACTTCCCCTCATCCTAAATCTGCACACGGAAAACTTCCTCCCCCCCCCCCCCCCCCCCCGAAGACTCCAAAAGCCACCGATCCCACATCCTCGGGCCCTCGCTCCTGCACCCCACGCCGGATCCATCAGCAAACCCAGCGACGCCCTGCGCCACCACGGTGATCGCGAGCTCGGACTGCAGCCTGCACCCCATCTGGACCCCGCCCGTCTGCCCCCCCTCCCCGGCAGCCCTGCTCTGCCCAGAACCTGGCCTGTCTCCGGGGCACCGCCAGGCCGCACCCACCGGGGAGCTGGGCCGCCGAGCCCTCCCCAGCTCTGAGTCCAGGCCTGTCCCGCCACACCCAGCACACAGAAATCACCCCACTCCCCACCCGGCAGCCCACGCCACCCCCGCAGTCCGCAGCGTTCTGGACAAGCTATAACCGCACCCCAGACCTCCTCCATGACCCCGCTGGCGGGAGCGCTCTTCCCCAATCCCGCTTGTGGGTTCCCTGCAACACCAGAGCGCCACACACAGGAGCTTGTCTGCTCAGTGTCGTATCTGGAGTCCAGGGCCCGGCTGAGACGCCGTAGGAGCCGGCAGACTTTGCTGAGAACACGTGACTTCTTTAAAATGACTTAGGGGCCCAGGGACACAAGGCCGACCCATGCCGCCCTGGGCCACCAGAGAGGCAGCTCCAGAGATCTGGGTTCCACTGAGGCACGGACCCCAGGCCCAGCAGACAGCAGGTCCCTTGCCCACCTCTAAGGGGCCGGTCTGCCGTCCCCTGTGGCCTGTGGGGACCCTTCTCTGACTGAGTACAGAGACTGACAGGACAGTGTGGGCAGACCTTGGACCCCACGTGGCAGGGAAGGGCTGTAGCCCAGTGCGGGGTCCTGGACACCTTCCTCTCACCTCCACCTCTGTGGGAGAGAGGGACGCACCTCTGCCCCACAGCTGTGTCACAGCTGACAAGGGGGCGTCTCTGACCACCTCATGTGACCCTCACAGTGACCAGCTGGAGAGCAGGGAGGTGGGTGACCATGAGGCAGCATGGAGCCCATTCAGGGGAGTGGGGTCTGGGACCAGCCTGGGCCTGCTCGTCACCCACGGTTCTGGTGGGGTGGGGGCAGAGACTTCCGGGCCCCTCTGCTGCACCGAGCTGTTGCTGGTTGGACAAGAGTGACCCCCACACCCACACCCCACCCCCATCAGGTCACAGCTGCCCTGTGCCCACAAGGAAACCAGAGAGGCCATCTGGCCTCTGATTCTGGCCACTTTGGCTGACAAAGCTGCTCCCAGGGGGTGTGGGTCCCTGAGCAGAGGCTCAAGGGTTTCCCAAGAGGAGCCGTTGGTGTCTTGGGCACCAGCCCCTGGGACAGCGGGGAGGGACGGAGCCTTGCCACTCTGCCCAGTTCCTGCTCTGCCTGTCTCTCCTGTGAGACCTTCTCCAGTGAGCAGATGGTGAGCGAGGGCTGAGGTAAGCTTTCCGTCTGCCGCTCGGTTATGCTTTAGAAACCCACTCGTTCATGGTCTGGGGGGCCTGGGGGTGCTCGGCTCCTGGGCTGCCCAGGCTCTCCCCATGCAGAGGGGATGTTCCCAACGGCCGCGAACCGGGGGTCCCCCGTACTCTCCCCCCACACCTGACTCTTGGTCCTGTGAAATGCAGACAGCAGGGGAGGCACCAGTGGCCGCCTCGGACTTGAGGTCTCTTTGTCTTTTTCGTTGTGAGGAGGGGTCTTTGCAGCGGCTCATCTCGTTTCGTGTCTTCCAAGCTCTCTCCTGGACCTACATGCTCACGGGGTATGTGACATCCCTGGGAGGGGGAGACGCATGGGGCCGGCACCCAGTGCCACATTCAGCTGAGATCAGGACACAGCCCTGTCAGAGCCCTCTGTCACCTCTCATGCCGAGCCCCCTCTCAGCACTCAAGGACCAGGTAGGGACCCGCTTTTGCTGAGTCCCTGGCTGGAACAGCACCGAGTCCTGAGGAAAGCCAGAGAACTGAGAGACCCTCCCTTCCACCCGTGAGGAGCTGGGGCTGGGGGTTGAGAGCAGAGGGCGGGCAGGGCTGGGATTCCAAACCCGATCTCCCACCTAAAACCAGCAGTCTCCACACAGGTGAGAGCTGAAAGGTGCACGTGTCTGTGTGCAGTGCATCCCTGAATGTGCACAGGCATGTGCGCCTGTGTCTGTGTGTGCTCCTGTGTGAGCCCCTGCTCGTGAGTTTGTGTGTGCCCAGGCATGCGATGAAGGCAACAAGCTGAGCAGTCTGTCTCGAACCAGTGTCTCTGAGGGGCCAGGTGTCTGTGGTCTGGGGGTTTATCCCTGTGTCCGTGTGTGTTTCTGTGGCACAGCGTATGGCTCCTGAGGCTTAGGCCGTGGGGGGTGGGGGCCAGCACCTGTCTCCTGGGCAGGACCGGGTCTATAGGGGCATCTGTGTGTCTAAGGCATGGGCACCGAGGTCTATGTGCCGGATCTGGATCCGCTGGGGGGCGTCCGCTGGGGGTCCAGCTGGCAGGACCCTGGTGTCTGCATGAACACCTGCGTCAGGGGCCTCTCGTGGGGCGTGCGGGACTTTGACTCAGGGAGGCTGGGTGCCTGAGCGAATCTGTTTGGGGGAGGACACGTGTGATTCCGCACCCATGTGAAGTTTGGGGAGCACACATGGAGCATCACGGTGGAGCCTGGGGACTCCCCGTGTGTCCTCTCCTGTCTGTGTGACGAGAACTTGGGGCCCCTAATGAAGCACCAGTCTCCCATCCCGTCGGCTAAGCTGACGGCTTTGCTCCCTCTTTCACACAGACAAACAGGCTCTGGATGAGAGAGACATTGATTCCAAGTCCAACAGCTGATCAGTGGCAGGTCTGAGCAGACACTCCTGGAGTCACCAGGGGCCACAGTGGGGGAGAGATAGAGCCCCAGCTACGGGGGAGCTGACCAGGCCCACTGAGATCTGGCCAGGCCACCTCCTGCTGCATAGGCATCGCTGCCCACCCGGGCCACCAAGCCCACCCGAGTGAACGCAGCAGATGTGCAGGCTTTCTGTGGTCCTCCAAGCTGGTGTATCCCCACCCCCTCGTGGCGTTCTGGGGCCAGGACAGCCCAGCAAGGGTCTGTTCTGACCCCATGGGACAACCGAGGCAGAGAGGGTGGCTATCCCATCCTAGGCACAGGTGTCTCCGAAAGGGTGGGGTTTAAACTGGAGCCACCCATTCCAGAGCCACACCTTAGAGCTCTGGGATCTGCGGCCTGGGATCTGGGGCAGCATGCAGGGGAGAGAGGCAAAGGGCCTGTGGTCACTCAAGGGCACAGGCCAGGAGGAGCCCTGGGGAGTTCTGGGGTTCCGGGAAGAGGCAGGAAGCCGAGAAGAGCTGACACCTGGGCTGGGGGCAGCCCACCCTACCAGGTGCTGGGCTCAAGGGCCTCCCCAGAAGGGGCATCTACTCCATCAGGGCAGGAGGACCGCCCTCCACACCCCGCTCGGCCCCAAGCTCAGGTCTGAGGCCCCGGTGGGTAAGGCCTGGTGTGGGCGATGCCCTCTGAGGGCTCACAGCAGCACTCGCTTCGGCAGCACATATACTAAACTTGAGGGTTCAAGGCAGCAAGATGCAGAGCGGAGGCTGGTTTTTGTCCTCCAAGCCCATTCTCCGTATCAGCCAGCTTGTTTTAGCAAACTCACTTCCACGTCAAGTGTACGGATACACTCAGGGTACAGGTAAGAAGCCAAAACCCCAACCGTTCTACAAATGAGTGGATTGGTCCCGACACAGGTTTTGGAGGTCAGGAAGCACGCCTGTGGCCTGCAGGGACGTTCCTAGGACAGAGGCCCTGGCTGATGTGGGGTGGGGTGCAGGGGAGCATTTCAGGGGGCCCCTGAGCCAGGAAACCCGTGGGCGGGCAGGAGGGGAACGCCCGGGGTGAAGGAAGCTGACTTCTGTTTTTAGGGTCTGGCCCTTTCACTGTTGTGAAACAGGTCCTTGTGGAGGCAAGGAAGCCACCTGCCAGTCCTGCCCCTTTGATCCCCTAGCCATCCCTGCAGGGGCTGGAATCGGGGGGGCACAGGAAGTCATGGCCCTGAGGGCCCCCTGCACACCTGTGGCCATACCAGTGCGGCTTGGACAGAACCAGGCGAGCCACACATGGAGTCGGGCGGTGGAGGGCTGGACCCCCAGGGCCCATGGCAGGGAGCACGGCTCACCTGGCCAGGACAGGGCGAAAAGGGGACCCAGGGTGGGAAACTCGGCTTCCTGCATCCTCCCAATTCCCTGGGACCCTGAATTCTTCTAGGGAACTGGCACCCCAGGAGTGGCCGTGTTCCCCATCAGCCCCTGCGGCACAAGCCCACGGACGTCCTCCTCGGCATCTCACCCCCCTGGAGGTGCGATAGGTCTGCATCCAACCTGCAGGGCAAGTTCTGGCTGTCATCGTGCGTACAGATGAGGAAGCCCCATCTCATGGCCGCAGATACCCTCCCCCCCGCCCGACCCAAGAAGACGGCGGGAGCCCAGCAGGTCCCTGTCCACCCCAGGCCAACCCCTTGCCCCCTCCCCACAGCAACCATTCTCCTAACCTGGGTGACCTTGGCCAAGGCCTCCCCCACCATCCTGTGGGGCCCCATCCACACCGGTGAGCAGGTCCCCAGGCCGGGCCCCTGAGACGTTCTCATGGCACCCAGCACACCACAGCCTTCATCCAGTCTGCGGCCAGGCAGGGCCGGTGGCCCCAGGGCAGAGCCCACATCTGCCCAGATCCCACCCAGTGCCTGAGGGGAGGCCCACCCGTGGGCAGCAGAGCAGGGGCCGTGGCCTCCAGCACCCCACCCACCAGCCAGCATCTGACCCATTGTCTCTGCCACCAGGTGCACACCATGCCCTTCGGGGACAATCGCTCGGAGGTGACAGAGTTCATCCTGGTGGGCTTCTCGGGCTCGCTGGGCCTCCACATGTGCCTGGTGGTGCTGTTCACGCTGGCCTACATGCTGACCGTCACAGAGAACGTGGTCGTCGTCGCCGTGATCCGGGTCAGCCCCCAGCTGCACAAGCCCATGTATGTCTTCCTCAGCAACCTGTCCTTCCTGGAGGTGTGGTACGTCTCCGTCACTGTGCCCAAGATGCTGCTCAGCCTGGCGGAGCCCCAGTTCCGACACATCTCCTTCACGGGCTGCATGACGCAGCTGTATTTCTTCCTGGCGCTGGCCTGCACCGAGTGCACGCTCCTGGGCGTCATGGCCTATGACCGCTACGTGGCCATCTGCAGCCCCCTGCGCTACCCGGCCATCATGAGCCCCAGCCTCTGCAGCTTCCTGGCCGCCAGCTCCTGGCTCTCGGGCTTCACCGTCTCCCTGGGAAAGGTCTTCTTCATCTCATGCCTGGGCTACTGTGGCCCCAACGTCATGAACCACTTCTTCTGTGACGTGTCCCCCCTGCTGAGCCTCGCGTGCTCCGACGTGTCCGTGGCGGAGCTGGTCGACTTCCTCCTGGCTCTGCTCATCCTGCTGGGGCCGCTGCAGCTCACCATCTTCTCGTACGCCGCCATCCTCGGCACCGTGCTGCACATCCCGTCCGCCGCCGGCCGGCGCAAGGCCTTCTCCACCTGTGCCTCGCACCTGGCCGTGGTGGTCATCTTCTACTCCGCCTCCCTCTTCATCTACGCCCGGCCACGCGCCATCTACTCCTTTGACTTCAACAAGGTGGTGTCCGTGGTCTACACGGTGCTCACGCCCCTGCTCAACCCCATCATCTACTGCCTGCGGAACCAGGAGGTCAAGGAGGCCCTACACAAGGCAGTGCAGAGGGTGGCCCAGGCCCTGGGTGCCCCGTCCTAGGGGCCCCCCTGGGACCTCGCGCTCCCTCAGACCTGCTCCAGACCTCTGTGTCTCCGGTTTATCTCCTGAGTGGTTCCGATGGGGTGAGGGGCTGAAGGCAGAGCCCTTCCTGTCCCTCATCTGAGTGGTGCCTGCCCAGGACACAGGTTTGGTGACCACCTCAACCTGGCTCACCCCTTCCCAATGCCTAGAACAGACGCCTCGTGTGGAGCCCCCAACCCTGACCCTCTCCGGGTGCCACACAAGGTATCATCCTGGGACACTTTACAACTGCTGCAGAGTACCAGTTACCCCCGCTCCAGGTGGGGACACCCCCGTCCCCCACATCATGCAAGAGTGGGGGGCCAGGTTGCAGGCTGGCCCCACGTCCTTGCTGAGGCCCCAGGCAGCTGGGCGCTCCCTCCTCTAACCAGGCCCCTGGAGTCCCGGTCAGCTGCAGCACCACGACCCCCTGCAGTTATGGGAGGTCTTGGGCCGTGCAGGGTGATGCCCAGGGCAGGTGTGTTGACAACCCAGCAGAACAAATAAGACTCTGAGGAGTGGTGGATATTCCCAAATGAAAACCAGAACTGGCCACTGAAACCAGCGTCCCCTGACCAGTGTCCCTGTGACCAGCATCCCTCTCTGTTGGGAGTAGGTGGAGTAAGCGAGGCCAGGCTTGAAAGTGTATGTGGGCCCTGATGCCTGCCCCAGCCACAGCCCCCACACACGCATTGTCACCAAGGGGCAATAGGGTGGCGTCCACGCCCGCTGCACACCTGGCTGACCCGGGAGGGCAGGACCTGGGTCTCCCCAGAGGAGCCCTCACCTGCTCTCCTGCTCTCCTTGGCGCCTGGCTTCAAAAGGCGCTCCATCCGAGCCAGCGGATGACTGTGATGGTGCCGTGAACTTTCCACAGCGGCTTCTAGAGTCACAAGGCCTGGCCCCAGCCTGTGCCACCTGAGAGTTGGTCAGAAATTTCGTGGTGCCTGTGCAGGATTTCAGGTAATAGCTGTCAACTGTGCTGGCAAGGTTGGGAAACCTAGAATGTTCGTCTTGTGCAATGGACGATGGGGGCTTTGAGCTTCACTCTCAGGGCCACCCCAGAAACACACTACAGACTGAGGGTTCAGACCACTCATTCAGCACACACTGGGCTCAATGGGTGTGATGGGCCTTGTGCTGAACGTGACCCGAAGCCTGTGAGACCAGGCCCCACCTTGAGCACAGTGTTACCGAGGGCAAGGGCTCACGGAGCACAGGGCAGCGAGGTAGCAGCGGACCGTCATTGAGTTAGGAGGTGGTGCTAGGCGGCGAGGGGCTCTCTGTTGTCCCAGGGAGGACACTGCAAGGAGCGGGGGCCAAGGCTATGGGCGGAGCTAAGCAGGGAGCTGCTGCTGGACAGACCAGCACTGACCAACCCGTCACTGAGTCCTTTCCAAGGGTCTTGGCACAGACCCCACTGCCGTGGCGGCCACTAGGGTTAGCGAATGTCCCATGCAAGGTGCCTGTAAGTCTACAATTTCAGGCACCTCCCTCTTTCATGTGGATGTGCTTCCAAATCAAACTACTGTAAATGATTGCTTTAAAACATGGGGTGAAAATACTATTGTGCTCACTGGTTTGTCAATTCATAAAGCAAGGATTGAGTGCCAACCTCTCACTGGGTGCTGTGTGGCCCTGCAGAGACCAGCTGGGTCAGGGAATTCACAGCCTGGCTTAGACACCCGGAAGCAACAGACACCACTCGGGTCCGGGCCCAGCACACAGCAGGGCCTCCAAGGCGCCAGAGACACAGGAACTGGTCCAGGCCGGGCATTGGTGCTGTGGGCAGGACCTGGTCTGGGGGGGGCACAGGCACCATGGGCAGGACCTGGTACGGGTGGGCACGGGTGCTGTGGGCAGGACCTAGTCTGGGAGGGGCACAGGTGCCGTGGGCAG